AGGTGAAAGTGAGACAGAGATCCAAGACAACTCAATAAAGGCCACATTAACAACTGGGCTACTGCAGCTGAGTCTCACTAGGAAGCCTCCAAAAATTTCAGGAGACCACAACTCTGTATTGTCAAACCCACAAGACTACGGGAGATTGGGACATCTGTCAGTGGACTCCCATCCCCAGTTCATTGAGGGTTGACGAGGGAGATACCATTCTTCTCCATTTCAGGATTAAGCCTAGGCACATGTTAGTGCCTTTCTTCTAAGCATGTTTGCTTCTTTCTAAGAGTTTTCTTAGGCAGGCAAGTGTTCTTTGTGCAGGTAACTTTCCATGGCTTCAGGTTAACTCAAAGTGGGATCTGGAGGCATATGGCTTTCTTACAACCAACTACATTATAGAATTGCAAATCATCAATTTTTTCAAGCTTTGCATGGGCATTAACAATTACTCCCACATTCTGATTTTAAAAAATGTTTGTTTGTTGTCCCTATTAATTGGAATATGAGATAAATTCCCTTATTATTTTATATGGCTGGAATTTTAAAACAGTCCTTAAACCTCTGCTAGTATGCTACCAATATATTGGTTTTCCATTATACAACAGACTTAAGTCAAAGAAAAATTCTTCAATCACACTTGCTAAAATATGACAACAAAGACTTATTTAAGGAGGGGAGGGGCAGTTATCACAACAGGTATAGTGACCAATGAAATAGAATTTTACACTAAGAGAGAGTGGTTTCAACCCTGAACACAGCATGGGTAAGTGGAAATTGATAGCTAAAGTCAGGTTAGGGGGTCAGTGAATCCCAAATTACTAAGAGAAACATCAAGGTCAAGGGTAACCTGTTATCACCTGGGGATGATGGAAGCTGACCAGCCTAATTAGCTAGATGCCAAAGGTAATCAGTTATGGAGGATGGGGGATTCCCACCGAATTAACTTAGCATTATTGCTCATATTGTACAACGCAAAGACATACAAGCCCAAAAGGTGAAGCCTAGATCAAACAGAGCTCGGGGGAGATTGGTAGAGTGAAGTCAAGGACAGAATCTTTGTGACTCAACAGTACTGAAAAGACCCTGAATTGATTAATTTATCCCATGTGTGTGTATGGCTATGGAGTCTCTAATGATACATTAAACTCACTCACAATAGAAGGGTGTAGAAAAAGAAAAGGACTCGAATTAAAGGTCTCAAGTTAAAGACATGCTAAGTTTTCATCTGGCCGGCAACTGGTCTATGACTCACGAAATTCTCATCTATAAACAAGTAAGAGCCAGAAAATCTTTTGCTCTATAAAATATTTGCAAAGTACTTTAATTTTCCCCTCCAAACACCTAGAAATTTACACATAGGCCAGTTGAAACCCATTAGCATTTGCCAAGCACACTCCTCTTCAAAACTTCAAACAGAGATAGCAATCCAAATGCAAAAGTAGGACTGTGACCCAGCAGGTAGGGGCAGCTTCATTAGCTGACTCTGTTCAGCGATTGCTTTAGCTGAAGCTGAATTTGGGAAATGAATGTGCAGGAAAATGTGGGGCAGACATACATAAATAATTTAACTTGAGGGGCGCCTGGGTGGCGCAGTCGGTTGAGCGTCCGACTTCACCAGGTCACGATCTCGCGGTCCGTGAGTTCGAGCCCCGCGTCAGGCTCTGGGCTGATGGCTCAGAGCCTGGAGCCTGTTTCCGATTCTGTGTCTCCCTCTCTCTCTGCCCCTCCCCCGTTCATGCTCTGTCTCTCTCTGTCCCAAAAATAAATAAACGTTGGAAAAAAAAAATTAAAAAAAAAAAATAATTTAACTTGAGAGGAGAACTCTAAACCTCTAATTTACATTCACCTTTTATTATCTTCTTATTCCTATAGACTAAAGTAGTAAGTATCTTAGGTATCCCAAGAAGGGTAAAAAGGATTAACATAATGCAAACTTCCCAGTAACTAAAACCAGGATTAAACATATAATCTGAAAAAATTGATGATTAAGATTGTTGTCTTCCCCGAAATAAATCTCATCACAACAGAGGCCTTATATTTTCTCTTTTCCCTGATTAGAGTGCTATCATTCAAAAACTAATGAACTAGGAAATAAAATCTCTCTCCCTTTCTCCACCCCTCCTCAATTTATCTACATAGGGTCAAAGGCAAGACACGTGTACTGGATTCTACAAATGCAAATGCATTTAAGAGAGGATTAAGCAATTCAAATACATTAAAGATTCAGCAACAGCACTTTTATTCTATTTTAAAAGGCATCAATGTTTCCCAACAGCTCTAAACATGGATTGTCTACCTTCCTACCTCCCGATATTCATTTCTTATTGCTGCTGTAACAAATGACCACTAATTTAGTGGCTTAAAAAAACACAAATTTATCATCATAGTACCGCAGCTGAGAAGTCCAAAACAGGTCTCAGTAGGGTAAAATTAAAGTTTTTTTGTTCTTTGTGGAGGCTCTGGAAGAAAATTCTTGTTCTTACCTTCTGCAGCATCTAGAGGCCTCTGCATTCTGTGGCTTGTATCTTCCCTTCCACCATCTTCAAAGCAAGTAGTTGCAATCTCTTGCCAACTCTGACCTCTTCCACCTCTGTCTTCACTTTAAAGGACGGTTGAGCACACCTGGAGAATCCAGGCTACTCTCTATCTTGAAGTCAGCTGATTACTATCCTTAATTCTAACTGTAACCTTAATTCCCTTTTGCTTTGTGACATTACATATTCACAGGTTCTAAATATAAGAGTGTAGACATCTTTTGGGGACCATTATCCTGTATTCTACCTCCCCAACATTCCTTGGAGAACAGAAGACAGCTGTGTGCTACCTCCAGCCCCACCAGGCATGCAGACCCTGCACTGGCTCAATGATAACCACCTGTGTGTTAAAGCATGGCATATCGGCTACTGAATTAACTAAAAAGTTGGAAATGTTTTACTATTGCCTATGGGACAAAAGGTGAGAAGGACATAAAAGTGAAATGTAAGTTTATTCAGCCAAAGCTTATAAGGGATAATAAAAGAAACTGTAAAAAAACAAAGTCACGTTAAAAACATTTTTTTTAAGTTTATTTATTTGGAGAGAGAAAGAATGGGAGAGGGGCAGAAAGAGAGAGAATCCCAAGCAGGCTCTGCACTGATGCAGAGCTTGAACTCATGAGCTGAACCACAAGACCATGACCTGAGACTAAATCAAGAGTCAGACGCTTAAACGACTGAGCCACCCAGGCACCCCCAAAGTGTTATTTTTATGATTTGTTGAATATCAATTTTTATATAATTTCTTCTGAAAGAAGTAATATATACTTTATGGGAACTTGGTAGTTTTGTTAGCTGTCTCTTATTTATTTACTCAAAGATTATTGGATATATAATATAGGATAGCCCCAGGGAAATAGCAGTGACTAGACCCCAGGGCTGGTTTTCAAAGGACTCACCAGTTTAATGAGACAATCAGACAAATAACCATTTAAAATACAGAGTAAAAATCTTTAGGGGCACCTTGGTGGCTCTGTCATTTAAGTGTCCAACTTTGGCTCAGGTCGCCTGACAGCTCAGAGCCTGGAGTCTGCTTCAGATTCTGTGTCTCCCTCTCTCTCTGCCCTTCTCGTGCTCAGGCTCTGTGTGTGTCTCTCTCTGTCAAAAACTGAATAAACATTAAAACAAAACAAAACTTTACCACACGTATCAGAGTCTTAAAGGAGCACAACAGAAACTCACCAGAATCACTCTAATGCATTACAGACAAGGGTGAGTCCAGAAACCCTCCCAAACACAAGTGAACCAACCCTTGAGCAAGGGAATGCACCAGTGAGCATAACTTTTGCCAAAGTGCAGTCATGAAAACATGGCGTATCTGGTGAAATGCAGGTAGAATGGTGTGGCTAGAGCTAAGTTTGCACATGGGGTAAAGAGAAAAATGGATACAGGAAAGGTTGAGAAGATCCAGCTCATGAAATCTCTCGTGTGCCTGCGGAGTTTGTACCTTTATCACGTAAAACATGGAATATCGTCAATTTCTAAAAAACCAGAGTTGGTATTGTAGAGGAAGGATGGAAGTGGTGACAAAGAGAATTCTGCTGCTGATGCTCCTAGGATTACGTTTCCACTGCAGCCAGAAAATAGAATCTGCCCATTTTTAAACACAAATTATTTAGAAAATTGACTGTATTTAATCCTCACAACAACCCTGAAATAGGTTCTATGTTTATCCCTATTGTACAGATGAGAAAAGTAAGGCTTAGACAGATTGAGTAACTTTCCCCTAACCTATATTCTATAAAACGTGCAGCTAGGAATAAAATTTACACCTCTGTCCTCAGAACCTTCTTACAGCTCCCAGAAGCAGATTTACCTTGAAGTTACCTCCCAGTTATCTTACTGGCATCGGCCCATTCCAAAACTTGAAGAATACAAGGAGGAGGCAGCAGCCTGGTCAATCACGTGGCAGAGTCGGAGAGTGCCATCCCGGATCTGGGGGCCACCACCTCCACCAAGGCACCAGAGAACACCCTGGGTAGCCAATCTTGACCTCAAGTAAGAAGGAACCCAAAGAATTGCAACATTTTATTGCTTCAACCCCTTTGCAAAATATCCTGTACCTAGTCAGTGCCCATGAGAGGTCCGCTGAAGTCAGTTACACAAAATGAAGGTAGACATGGGTTTCATCCAGATAATTCGGTATAAGCCCTCAAAGAATCCCTGACCTAATCTTTTAGTCCAGACAGCTCTATCATCCAGTCTGTTGCTATTCATGGGATCTCTGAGATTGTTGGTTTTATATTCACAGTGGCATTCTGGGGCCAAAGCAGCACAAAATAGAATGGTACAGTTCTTAATGACACAGAATTCAGTTACCAAATGCCCAGACTCCTTCCTCCCTCACAAAGGACGAGGGGGGGCTGGCCTGGTATTCACCAGATGTTCAGTGGGGCACCCTGATGGCAAATGCTCGACAAGTTCATGTACACACAAAATCTGGCCAAAATGGCAGGAAGGAATGACACCTAATGAGTGGTTAACATTTTTATTTCAAAAAGCAGGATACTGTATGTAACACTTTCTGAAAAATAATTAAGACACTGTAATTAAATGACTTCTATGTTTTTAAACACAGTAAGGATGTACAGAATCCTTGAAATATGCATTTATTCAAACTTTATTTAAATAGAATGCAATTCAGTCGGGAGACTTAAGGGGTAATGTCTGCCTGTCACAAAACAGAAGCTCTTTTGTGGATTTTGCTTGTTTATTTATTTATTTATTTATTCATTTATTTAAATTTTACATCCTCAACATATATTACAAGGGCTTCATCGTTTAGTTTAGAATATACATACTGTATTTGACTAATCGTTTGTGGGTTATATGTGCCATGAAAGGTACATTTTCCTTTTTATAATCAATAAACAACAAACTGACACAAAAAGACATGGAACCATTTAAAAGTTTTGTCTCATTCAAGTAGAATACAACCTGGGATTCAAAACAGATTCTTCCTTGAAAATTGCTTATTTCCCATCCCCGTAAAAAAGAAAAAAAAAAAGAGCAAAATGCAGAAACATACAGGCGATTCATTAGCTCTTAATCAAATTTACATTTCTACCTGCAGTAGACTACATTAAACATCTGAGCCTTCTGCTTCGTTATGGCTATAATCACATAGTCTAAACATAAAAAAAAAAACTGTATTAAAAGTTTATTTTCTCCACTTTCTACAAGATATCATCTTCTTCCACAATAAACTGACTAGGACTTTTTGCATCGAGTACACATGGTATACAGATGAGTGTGGAAAAATACATTTATGTCCTTTAAAATTTCTGGGTCACGTAGACACCTCTATTCCCAATGGGAAGCATGGATATCCAGGTTTCTTTGGGAATGTCTGTTTGTCAACTCGGTGTATGGCACTGTTTGGCAAAAGAGTGCCTATCTCTTTTCCCCTGTTAATCTGACTCCTGCCAGCCCAATATTAATTTTTGCTTAAGAGTTTCATCTACTTAAAACTCTGTAGAAAAACTAGATCTACTCTGTTTAAAAGAGGTTGACTCAACCACTCAGGCACTCACCCCCACACACAGAAGAACAAATTCCATCTTGAAAAGCTAACATTCATTATTCAGTATTTTACTAAACCATAGAACTTTCAGCTTGGAATTTTCTTGAAAATATATATTCTTCACCTGAAGCTGTCATAAAAATGGAGACTATCTTCTCTGATTTCAAAACCATCAAAGTTGTTCTTTTAAAACTACTTTCCAAACCCCAGGAGTAGTGTAGTAGGAGGGCAAGCATGTCAGGAACTTTAGGAAATGAGTTGAAGACAGTAACATTTGATTCCTGCTTGAACATGTATTATTTGTACCAATGGATTGTAACTGAAGATGTAACTACTATCGGCACTAATGAGAGTTACATGGCTACCCCGGAAGTAAAGCTGCATGCTTTTGCTAGAACTCTGGGAATCTGACAGGCAGGTTGCTTGAACTGTCTCAAGCCGCTGTCTCTTCAAGAGCTCGCCACCACACAGATTAAGAATGATTCATCAACTGTTGCTGCCTTCAAACCACATACTATAAAAGGCAGCCAAAACATAACTGCATGTGTACTGCCCATAAAATCATCTGTGGCTTCAGAATATATTTTGATACAAAGCCTGCCTGCCCATTGTACAAACCTTTGTCAATTTATGTAGAAATATTTATTACCTGTAACCAAAGATACACAAAATCAGTGTGTTTGTTATGTAACATCATGTCAGTAATGCATTTGTTACTGTTTTGAGAGATTTCTTTTGCTCCAGATTATGCTCTGCCAAATAACTTTTTTTTTATTATTATTATTATACTAGGGCAAGTGATTGCTGTGCTACATTTGCAATTGTAATGATCATTTTCCTGGGACTGCTAAATTATGTCTTAATTTTATTCAAAAGCTTTTATTTTCAAAGCAATTAAACTTATTGTTGATTGATATTTACCATCTAATGTTCCTGGAACACTAAAATAATACGCTTTATACATAATCTTCCATTATAGTACATTGCTTGAGAGTAGCTATTGGATATAACGGCATTCAGTTGAGTTTTCAAACTGAAGAACAAAAATTATAGCAATTTCACTTGAAATCCATAAATCCATGCACAGGATTGTGTTCAACAGAATCACTAAATGCTATTTGTTATTCAAAGATGAATGAATCAATAGAAAAACAGAACTGATAAATCATTAGTACTTTAATGCTGAGTGGAGAGAAAAACTAATAAATCATGCATTTCAAGCACTTGTTTTCCTCATGGCATGTTTAAAAACAGAAAACATGCACTGATGGGATGCAGGTCAATATGACTGAAACATACCCAAACTGCTCAGAAAAGCATTTCATTTTATATCATAGATTTAATGAAACACCAAGGAAAGTACTATGCTGCGATTTCTTTAAATGGACACTCCAACCATCCCATGAACACCGTAAACAACGATCTGGGTCATTATTTCCAAATAAACATTTGAAATGTCACAGAGATAGGAGTGGTGTAGGCTGATGGGAGAGGGCTAACTGCATGCACGATTTGCTTCAATGAGCTTAATAGCATTGAAGGTATCAATTTATTCCAGAGCAAAACTGATACAATCATTTACTATCTCAAGTGTACTTAACTGACCCATTAAAAATTACACATACCTATATTTATAAATGACCAAAAAAGCAAGAAATCAGCATTTGAGCTTTGATTGTGTTGTTTGGCCTATTGTCTATGTAAGGTGAGAATTTTAATTATAATTAATGGGTAATTCACTCTCTTCCAGAGTTTAAGTCATCAAAAAATTAATCATAAGAACCATAAATTTACTCCACAAAGCTAATTAATTATACATTAACCCATTTCTCTCAAGCATCTTTTTCTGAATCTTTGGTGGGAAATAGTATATTAGGCACATAGTTTAAAACATCTATTTGGTTATTGGTGTGGTTATGAATTTTCTTCTAGATCCACATGCAAAAAGGAGTAAGGCTTGTCATATTATCACACTTCACTGCCAAGTAACTTATTTCTGTTTTCACTTATTTCTGGAATTAAAAACAAAATGAAACAAAATAAAAATCACTTTCTATTTTTTTTAGCACAAGAAAACTTTATATATCTGATATTTTAAATTCCACTCAGAAGCATTAAGATGTTGAAGAAAAACTATTTAGGTACAGCAAGATTATCACAGACAACTATTTAATAAAATCGTCCAATTAAAAGTTTCTTTTCAAGTCATAGTTCGAAGATCATTGATGCACTGATTCTATCAGGGAAAAATATAGCAATCTACAGTGATGATCATCATAGCATTACTGATTAGTGCTTACCAATAATTTGAATCACACGCAGAATCACATTTCCCATGATATTTCCTTTTATGTTTCACATATTTGTCTCACAGGTTAGTAAATGGAATTGGGGGAGGGGTGGATGAGAGACATAAAAATCTATGGGAACACGTGCAACAAAAATATGCAGTATCACTTCATGTACACTTCTGCCTTCTTCATGCAAAGATGCCTATAAAAACGGAGACAAATTTTCTAATAGCTGAATATTACATTAGCTCGGTAACAAAAACTGTTAACCAATTCCATGATTTTGCATGAGCAAGAGAACTGAAATGGTTGAAAGGTTTCCAGCATAAGTTTCCATGGCCCAATTATGCTAATTAGATCTCTAAGAATAAAATGAAACAGGTTTATTCCTTGCTTCGGTTTCTTGTTCTTTTGACGAGAGAGCAGAACAGCCCAGTTTTTGGAGGAGGACCCATCAGCATTGGGGCTTGGTTCTTGTGTGTAATTTTTATCTAGGAAAAGAAAGAGAAAGAGAGTAATTTCCAGACAGAATACCATTTTCAGAGAATCTCTGTTAAGGTTAATAATATTCCACGAGTTACCAGAACACCACAAGTGTAAAATGTAGTTTCAGGGTGTTTGTTATTTCAAAAATAATTTTAAGGGAGATAAAAATTTGCCTTTAAACTAAATTCCAGTGCTCGGTTTTAATGAAAACATAAAAATTAACCACAATCACATTTTAAATATCATTACCTCCACCCTCACTTGTAGTAACACCCCCAAAACTCTTTGTTTCAGTGACATGATTATCCAGTATAATTCAATGACCATTTAAAGCAGGAAAGGATGTACCATGATAGCATTCACAAGTCCAGGTACAGCCCAACATCAAGATACACAGGGTATCAAGGCAAGCCTTATTTATCTTGCTAATCAGATTGTTTCTCTCTTTCAACACGAACTGCAAGGTTTAATTTCAAAACAATCATTAGGAATGAAAGTCAAAAGTTAACGTGCGTAAAAGGTCAGAAATGATGAACTAGCTTTCTAATTTGTTAATTAATTGGTAATAGAATAGAATCAAATATTGAAAAGCCTGCTTCAAACACTTTGAGAGACAGTTCTAAAGCTACTCGTTTTGATTTCTTTGATGTAAAACTACGAATCACCTTAAATGAGACAACCTTAAAGTAGATTATGTCTGCAATTTTCTCTAATTCAAGTCTAAATTAGAGAAGACATTTTATGAATATATGCTATGCTCAAAGCTAATTGAAAGCAATTATCAAAGTGGCATTTTGTCTGTGACTTTAAGATACATTGTAAGATAATAAATGATTCTCATTATGTAATAAAAAGGTCACATCTTGCCTTTGGGCTAGTGACGCTAAGAGTTTTTCAAAAGCAATCGGAGACATTTTCTTTAGAGAACTGTGACTAATACAAGAACCATCGCTTATTAAATATCAGTTGTCACCTGCACAGCACCCGCATCAGAGATGAGTATTTCTTTCAAATAGAAACACCACCTCATTAAAAGCTCCAAAAATATATCTCTTAAAGTGCATCCCTGACATTTTCAAGTTAAAATGAATATCCTCCACTTGTCATTCACTAATAGCAATAAAACAAAACAAAAAAAAAGTACGTCACATGGACAGGATCATTAAAATCAGCACTGGGGCTTTTGGGAAATGGAGATTCACTTCACAGTCTAGAAAGACAGAAGTATGCCAAAAACCTGGAAAAATGAACAACTTTATTTAAGTCTGTAGGAATCAGGTTATTCTGGGAAGATTCAGTGTTCTTCTCTTTACTGTAAAAATAAATTGCACCTGTAAAAGGCCAGTAGGCTAAGTCAGCCCCAAACTTTCTGGATATATGATTTTATTTTATTTTTGTTATCTTATGAACTATGGAATTGACAGCAATATGCTTGTGATCCCAGACTGCACACATCTATGTAGACTGAAAAAGATCTCTACCAGGTTGTCTCTCCTAATAATTGTTTTGGATTATGACATTGATTTTTAAATCCCCCTGAACCGTACCTTTATACAGTATCTAATGCAACATCATTCCTTCATTTATTCATTTTGTAAACTTTGTTTTACCCCTACTACGCTTCAGACACTATACCAGGAACTTTTAATGAACAATGGACAATCTCTACTCCAAGATATTTTAGTCAAGTTGGAAAAAGAAATTTAACAAGCAGGATATTGGCCACTCTGATTTTTAAAATTATCTAAAACCCATCGTTTTGGTTGTTTGATCATTCCTATGGTCTAAGTACACATTTCTTTCTTTAATCTAACATTATTTCCATAAAAAAATAAGTCTATATATTAATTGTCTATTGTTTATGGAAATGAAAAACAACTGGCTATGTTTTCCTCTGAGGGGAAATCATGTGAATGAAACTAGCATTCATAAAATGTCTATTATGTATCTAAGCTCTTTACATAGGTTATCTCATTGGATAATTAAATGTCTTTGTATATTTGAACAGAAGCAAAAAGTACTCTATTAAGGATGAGAATGATTCCAGTCCAGGTGAGTTCTGTGTGTGGTCACAGAAAGTCTAACTGTAGTCTCCAGAAAGCTGTAGAGACTTCAGAGTTAGTTTAAGTTCAGACTGCCCGTGTCAGAGAACCTGGTTAAGAGGTCCTCTGCAGGGTGCCTGGGCAGCTGGCTCAGTCAGTTCAACATCCAACTTTTGATCTCAGCTCAGGTCCTAATCTTAGATTGCAAGTTAAGGCCCTATGTTGGGCTCGATGCTGGGTGTGAAGTCTACTTGAAAAAAAAAAAAAAAGTAAATAAAATAAACGACCTCTGTGGGACTGAAAGAATGACTCACATGCCTGTTTTGTATACATTCCACACTCTTGTGTTATTATTTTTATTTTTTTGAGAACCTGATACCTAGTAGGAAAACAATAATGAGTAAGGAGCAGATCTTATCTCTAAAGACATTAGAATATATTAAGTTTCAGCAATCTGAAGACATGAGCCATATATTTGGCAATCTTTGACTGCTTCTATCTTTCAACAACCAGGCAGTTACTTCTTAGCTGTTTCTTAACATGTCAAATATTTATCAAGCACCAGCTATAAGCAAGGCAATCTGCAACGTGATTTTGATTCGTTTGGAAGAGAATCTGAAATTTAAAATTGTGGGCACTCATAAGCAATGGTGATGGGGCTTCTAGAAGCTGGGATGGCTGCATGAAGTAGAAGAACACACTTTAAAAATGCAAGATAAGGGCGCCTGGGTGGCTTGGTTGGTTAAGCGTCTGACTTTGGCTCAGGTCATGATCTCACGGTCTGTGAGTTCGAGCCCCAGGTTGGGCTCTGTGCTGACAGCTCAGAGCCTGGAGCCTGTTTCAGATTCTGTGTCTCCCTCTTTCTCTGCTCCTCCCCTGTTCATGCTCTGTCTCTCTCTGTCTCAAAAATAAATAAACGTTGAAAAAAATTAAAAAAAATGCAAGATAAATGTTGTCAGTAATAGATGAGCACCCTCCTATATAAACTCTTCACTTCTACATATTACCTATTCTTTTGCAAAGCAATGGTGCCACAAGAGAGGACCTTCTACTGTTCTACTGTTCTGTGATTCTTTCTACTTCTCTCTTCCTATAATGTATTAAGATTGGGGACGTCTAAAAAGATAAACATGAGAAAATTTGATTGCAGTTTCAGTTTTAGAAATATTCAACACAGGATGCCACAGGGCCCCTCCTGAAGTGGATCACCTAAGGAGAAGCAAGCTAAGCCTGCCCCTCCTGCCCCTATGCACCTTGCCTACCCACCCCAGCTAAGACGCCAGATCCCCAAAATCACAAGCCTGGCAGTGTGCAAGTAGCCCAGACGGGCCACCCCACCCCACAGTGAATCCCACCCCTAGGAGAGGGGAAGAGAAGGCACACACCAGTCTGACTGTGGACACAGCGGGGGGCTGGGGGCAGACATCAGGTCTGACTGCGGCTCCGCCCACCAACTCCAGTTATACACCACAGCACAGGGGAAGTGCCCTGCAGGTCCTCACCACGCCAGGGACTATCCAAAATGACCAAGCGGAATAATTCCCCTCAGAAGAATCTCCAGGAAATAACAACAGCTAATGAGCTGATCAAAAAGGATTTAAATAATATAACAGAAAGTGAATTTAGAATAATAGTCATAAAATTAATCGCTGGGCTTGAAAACAGTATAGCTGACAGCAGAGAATCTCTTGCTACAGAGATCAAGAACTAAGGAACAGTCACGAGGAGCTGAAAAACGCTTTAAATGAAATGCATAACAAAATGGAAACCACCACGGCTCGGATTGAAGAGGCAGAGGAGAGAATAGGTGAACTAGAAGATAAAGTTATGGAAAAAGAGGAAGCTGAGAAAAAGAGAGAGAAAAAAATCCAGGAGTATGAGGGGAAAATTAGAGAACTAAGTGATACACTAAAAAGAAATAATATACGCATCATTGGTATCCCAGAGGAGGAAGAGAGAGGGAAAGGTGCTGAAGGGGTACTTGAAGAAATCATAGCTGAGAACTTCCCTGAACTGGGGAAGGAAAAAGGCATTGAAATCCAAGAGGCACAGAGAACTCCCTTCAGACGTCACTTGAATCGATCTTCTGCACGACATATCATAGTGAAACTGGCAAAATACAAGGATAGAGAGAAAATTCTGAAAGCAGCAAGGGGTAAACGTGCCCTCACATATAAAGGGAGACCTATAAGACTCATGACTGATCTCTCTTTTGAAACTTGGCAGGCCAGAAAGAATTGGCACGAGATTTTCAGTGTGCTAGACAGAAAAAAATATGCAGCTGAGAATCCTTTCTCCAGCAAGTCTGTCATTTAGAATAGAAGGAGAGATAAAGGTCTTCCCAAACAAATAAAAACTGAAGGAATTTGTCACCACTAAACCAGCCCTACAAGAGATCCTAAGGGGGACCCTGTGAGACAAAGTACCAGAGACATCACTACAAGCATAAAACATACAGACATCACAATGACTCTAAACCCATATCTTTCTATAATAACACTGAATGTAAATGGATTAAATGTGCCAACCAAAAGACATAGGGTATCAGAATGGATAAAAAAACAAGACCCATCTATTTGCTGTCTACAAGAGACTCATTTTAGACCTGAGGACACCTTTAGATTGAGAGTGAGGGGATGGAGAACTATTTATCATGCTACTGGAAGCCAAAAGAAAGCTGGAGTAGCCATACTTCTATCAGACAAACTAGACTTTAAATTAAAGGCTGTAACAAGAGATGAAGAAGGACATTATATAATAGTGACAGGGTCTATCCATCAGGAAGAGCTAACAATTATAAATGTCTATGCGCCGAATACCGGAGCGCCTAAATATATAAAACAATTACTCATAAACATAAGCAACCTTATTGATAAGAATGTGGTAATTGCAGGGGACTTTAACACCCCACTTACAGAAATGGATAGATCATCTAGACATGGTAAATAAAGAAACAAGGGCCC